CCTGCCCGGCCTCTGGGGCATTGAGGACCAAAGTGGGTTTGTGCTGCCTGCCTTCTGTGTCGGTTGAGGATGGCGAACCCCAACAGAACTTGATTCTTAGCAACCAAAATGCTAAAGAGGAAAAGGGAGAGCTCGGGGACAGATGATCTCCTGCAAGGAGGAAATCTGTACAGCACAGAGTGCTGTTGTGCTGTACACACCTCAGGGTGCTCTTCCCTCAGTCATGCTGGCGAGCTTGCTGTGTGCCAGGTGCTGAGCTGGGGTGGAGGTGTTGTACAACTATAAACACAACGGTTCTGTCCCATTCTTATTATTTTATTTTTGGGTGCCACTTCCAGTTCTTTTCACTCAAAGCTGGTACTCTGCCACTTGAGCCATGCTTCTACTTACAGCTTTTTTTTTGAGTCAGTTGCGGGGCTTGAACTCTGGGCTTGGGCGCTGTCCCTGGGCTCTTCAGCTCAAGGCGAGCAATTGAGCCACAGCGCTACTTCCGGTTTTCTAGTGTTTTATTGGAGATAAGAGTCTCACAGGGTGGGGCTGGGAAGGTGGCTCAGTGGAAGAGTGCTTGCCTTGTATGCATGAGGCCCTGGGTTCAATTCCTCAGCACCACATAAGCAGAAAAAGCTGGAAGTGGCACTGTGGCTCAAGTGGTAGAGTGCTCAGCTTGCGTTGAAGAGCTGAGGGACAGCGCCCAGGCCCCGAGTTCAGGCCCCACGACCAGCCAAAAAAAAAAAAAGAGTCTCACGGACTTTCCTGCTCAGGCTAGCTTTGAACTATGATCCTTAGATCTCAGCATCCTGAGTAGCTAGGATTATAGGCTTAAGCCACCGGCGCCTGGCCACTTACAGCTTTTTTGAGCTAAGAGTCTCCCTGATTTGTTTGCCCAGGCTGGCTTTGAACTTCAGTCCTCAGCTCTCAGCCTCCAGAGTAGTCGAGACTACAGGTGTGAGCCACTGGGGTGGGGCTTGTTCCATTCTTCTGTGTCTTTTATAGTCTTGGGGAGTCTTGGTGTTTTGGGTCACGTGACTGTATCTTAGCTTGCATTTTGGCTGGCCATGTGCCTGACTAATAGTTGGAGCAAAAAGGAGAACAGTTGGTGTTGAGAGACACCTGGCAGGTCTGAGCTTCAGGGAGCATGGCTGAAACACAGCCAGCAAGCTCCGGGAGGCGAGATGGGAGGAGCTGGAAGGGCTGTGTGGGTCTTAGAGGCCTGGAGCTTCACCTTGAGATCACTCAGCTAGGTGCCATCAACCACTTCCGGTTTTCTGAGTGGTTTATTGGAGATAAGAGTCTCACGGACTTTCCTGCCCCGGCTGGCTTTGAACTGTGATCCTCAGATCTCAGCCTCCTAAGTAGCTAGGATGACAGGTGTGAGCCACTGGGCACTTGACTATAGTTTTTTTTTCTTAAGGCTTATTTATTTTTCTGCTCTTTTTATGGTTTTGTTTGTTTGTTTCCATAGGTATATTCTGGGTTCTATGCACGTACGTACCCAGCTATTTCTTTTTTTTTTGGTTGTGGGGCTTGAACTCTGGGCCTGGGCGCTGTTCCTTGGCTCTTCAGCTCAAGGCGAGTGCTCTACCACTTGAGCTACAGAGCCACTTCTGGTTTTCTGGTGGTTTATTGGAGATGAGAGTTTCACAGACTTTCTTGCCCGGGCTGGCTTTGAACCGAGATCCTCAGATCTCAACCTCCTGAGTAGCTAGGATTACAGGTGTGAGCCACCAGTGCCCAGCTCCAGCTATTTCTTTATGATAAATTTCTAGAGGGAAGTTGCTGGGTCCAAAGGGATTTTATTTTTGTTGGTTGGTTTTCTTTTCTTTTCTTTTTTTTGGTCAGTTATGGGGGCTGAACTCTGGGCCTGGGTGCTCGCTTTTCCTCAGCTCTTCAGCTCAAGGCTAGCACCCTACCACTTGAACCACAGCGCCACTTCTGGCTTTTTTCTGCTTATGTGGTGCTGAGGAACCCAGGGCCTCATGCATACGAGGCAAGCACTCTACCACCGAGCCACCTTCCCAACCCCCTGTTGATTGGTTTTCTCCTCAGCAATGTGACTGTGGATTTTGGTGACATTTCTGGTCTTATTTATTTATTTATTTATTTAATTTGATTACCATGGCCTCCCTCTAAGCATTCTTATTTTATTTTTCAATGAAACATTTAAATATATAAGGATGTTAAAATGGCTCTACGGGGAACATCCAAATTCCACACTTCCCATTTTGGTAACCATTGCTTTATCTAAATATCTCTCCAGACATCAATCCATCTTAGCCTCCTCCTCCTCCTCCTCCTCTTCCTCCTCCTCCTCCTCCTCCTCCTCCTCCTTCTCCTCCTCCTCTTCATCCTCCTCCTCCTCCTCCTTCTCCTTCTCCTCCTCCTCCTCCTCCTTCTCTTCCTCCTCCTCCTCCTCATCATCATTATTTTGATACATTCCACAGTCAGTTACAGACCTCAGGGCCCTGTATCCCCACCTCCACATTGGATGCTTACAGGAAGTGTGGGCCAGGAAGTTAACCTTGCTGCAGCCCTGCAGGACTCCTTGCTGGGAGAGAGGACCCCAGACTCCCGTCCCAGCCCGAGGCATTGGGCAATTTTGGAACCTTGGCTCAATTGCAAGAACATTTGTGTTGAGCTACTGGAGGTGCTGTCTTGCACTGCCAGGAACAGAGTGGGAACTTGATAACCAGAGACCGTAGGACATTATGTGTTAAACTGTTGAAGGCCCTGGTTTTCAGTTACTGCAATGGATAACTTCTGATCTTTTTGGCATACAAATACCTTCATCACAGGTTTTTATTGACTTTTTTCTTTCTCAAACTTGGAAGAATAAAAAAACAGAACCCCTGTTGGATAGGCTGGGGCTATCTGTATGAGTCAGCTTGCTGTAACAAAATGGCTGAGATAAACAACTTAAAAAGAAGAAAGGCTCATCTTGGCATATGCTTTCAGTTTTCTGTCCATGTGTCTTTGCCCTGTCATTTTGGGTCTACAGTGACCCAGGACATTGTAGCAGGAGTGCCTAGCAGAGGAAACTAATTACCTCATGCTGACTAGGGGCTAAAAAAATAAAATTAAAAAACAAGGAAGGAGCTGGGATTCCAATTGCCTTAGAGGCAATTCCCCAGTGACATTTTGTGTGCTGCTCCTGGGGTTTGAACACAGGACCTCTTATTCTTGCTTAGCTTTTTCACTCCTGGCTAGCACTCTACTAGTTGAACCACGCCCCACTTCTGGCTTTTTGCTGGTTCATTGGAGATACGAATCTCATGGATTTTTCTACCCAGGCTAGCTTCAAACCTTCATTCTCAGATCTGAGCCTCCCAAGTAGCTAGGATTATAAGTGTGAGCTGCTGGTACCTGGCTCTCAGTGACTTAATTTTTTCCCAAAAGCAATATAAGAGGATGACCAAGCCTTCAGCATTTGGGCCTGGGTGACAGTTAGGATCCAAACTATAACTCCAAATAGACTTAAACGTTGGCCTTGGTGGGTTCCTCTGAAAAGCCGCTGTCCTCCCACCAGATCAGAGTTGCTCTGTCTTTTTTTTTTTTTTTGGGTCCAGTCGTGGGGCCTGAACTCTGGGCCTGGGCACTGTCCCTCAGCTCTTCAGCTCAAGGCTAGCGCTCTACCACTTGAGCTACAGCGCCACTTTGGCTTTTTTCTTTTTGCTTATGTGGTGCTGAGGAATCGAACCCAGGGCCTCACGCATGCAAGGCAAGTGTTCTACCACTGAGCCACCTTCCCAGCCCCTTGCTCTGTCTTTTGACCTTGAGCTGACTTGTATAACCTGTGGCTTGTGCTACAGCCCAGAAATAGGAGCCTGCCCTTCTGGGATGCCAGCAGGCTGGAGAATACCAGCTCTGAGGCAGAGAGCTGACCCTGGACATGGAAGAAGTCCCTCCTTTGGGTCCCTCCTGCTCTGGGTTGTTTCCTGGGAGCCTTTGCTCCTGTTCTTTAATAGAAATGAGCCGACTCAAATGACCCCTATGGTGATGAGAGGCAGCCCTGCAGGCTGCAGGCCTCCCTGCAGGTTTGTTTGGATATAGTGAGGGGCCAGTCAGAGCTTTGCATATGTACAAAGTTGAACTTGAAAGCATAGTTATGTGTGTTTAATGCAAATGCATTGCAAAAGGCTAGGAAACCAGTCTAGAAGGTTTCTCAGTAGAGTTGCTAGAGCCAGTTGGTCCCCCTCTATCCCCGCCCTCCCCCCACCATGCAGTAGGAATAGGCACCTTTCTCTGGGTCTCTGCAGAGTACCCAGAAATGTACTCCCCCCCCCCCCCCCCCCGTTCTTGCTGCCAATCCATCTTCCTTCACCACCTCCTGCTTTCCCAGAAAGCAGCTGGGCAGAGTCCAGCAGTAGAGGGTGGCCGTGATTATTTGAGAAGGCACATACTTCATTTCAGACCCGATTGCAGTTATCAGCTTAGATAATTTCTGTGAGTCCTGAAATAGACTTGGCCCACCAGGCAGGGTGTCTGCTGTGTCCTCGCATGGGGTACAGGAGTGGTTGGGGTCTGAACTAGTGACACTGTAGATGGAGCCTGGAGTCCTAGAGAATACTTTGGTTGCTTAGAAACCAGCCAGAACTCCCTGGCGTGCACCTGGGCCTTTCCTCTATGTGGTTTCCTGGGCTTTATGTCTTCAACCACTGAGTGGGGGTGATTGACAGCACCCAGCTCCCGGAGGTGGGTGAAGATAGAGCCTTGTAGGGGTGAAGGGGAATTTTCCCTTCTGCTTTTGGAGGGACCGCTGGCATGAACAGAGACACTAGATGAAATCGGAAAATACCAATTTATTTAACCTGCGAAACAAGCAAATCACAGGAGTGTGAATCACCAGCCCCAAATTTCAGAAACCTGCCTACCCCATTTCTGTAAGGCAAGGGTAGGGCAAGGAGGGAAATGTGAACCTTTTGTGGGGTTGGAAATCATTTCTAGGAGAACTCAATGGGTTTAGACAACTTTTGAAGATGTCCCGTGTGTGATTCTGTCTGTAGGTCCGGAGTCTGGTACCCAGTGCCAACTGTCACCTGTCAACGCCTCCCACCCTGTCCAGGCCTTGATGGAGAGCTTCACCGTTCTGTCTGGCTGTGCCAGCAGAGGAACCACCGGGCTGCCACAGGAGGTGCACATCCTGAACCTCCGCACCCCGGACCAGGGACCAGGCCAGTCTCAGAGAGAGGTAGGTGCCTCAGCCTTCAGCCAATGCCTTCTGAATCCGTGAAGGTACTTTTCTGAAGTACATTCCCTTTTCAGGTCCTTCCCTTCTTTTTCTTGGGGCTCAACAAGCATGCCCATGTATGGGCTCAAGAAAGAACAGGATTTAACAATTTGCTCTGTGGCTCGGGACATGTTACGATGCTTCTCTCAGCTCGGTGCTGGTTGCTTAGGCCTGTAATCTAGCTACTCAGGAGGCTGAGATCTGTGGATCAGGCTGTGGTTCGAAGCCAGCCTGGGCAGGAAAGTCTGTGAGACTCTTATCTCCAATTAACCACCAGACCAGAAATGGAGCTGTGGTTCCAAGTGGTAGAGTGCTAGCCTTGAGCAGAAAAGCTTAGGGACAGCACCTAGGCCCCGAGTTCAAGCCCCATGACCAACATAAAAGAAGAAAAAAAAGACTTCTCCCTCTGGAGATTGTTTGGCTTTCCCCTTTTCCTGGCCTACTGAATCCGACAGAATTTTTGTAAGAATTCCATCTTCCAAACATGACTGAAGAAGCAAGGTCACATTTCTCTGACTAAAATATCTCCCCATCTCTGTCCATGACCTTTCTCTCTTTTCCCCTCTTCTCTCCCTTCCTGTTCTCTTCCTCCCAACCCTCCTCCCTTTTACTTTGCCTTATAAACATATTGTACCTGCTAGAGAAGTCAGGGGGAAAAGGGAACATTCCAGAATGCAGGTGGCAATACATTGACCATGAAAACTCTTCCAATCTACCCTCAGAGTAGGTATGTACTGCATCTGGACACCTTCTCCAAGATGGCGGTGGTCTTGGCGGTGATGGTGAGGATGTTGGTACAAGCTCACAGTTTCTCAGTGTGTGTTTGTGTTCAGTGCCATTGGAAGCATTCAAACACTAGCCTGTGAGTTCCTTCCTTTTTCTGTCTCTTTCTCTGTCTCTCCTTCCTTCATTCCTTCCTTTCCTTCTTTGTTTCTCTCTTTCTTTATCTCCCTTACTCTTTCTTTCTTTTGTTTGTTTTCCTCTTTCCTTTGTCTCTCTTTCTTTCTCTCTTTCCTTTCCCCCACTCCCTCCCTTCCCCCTCTCTTTTTCTCCCTTTCTCTCTTTCTTTCTTGGTCTTAGGGCTTGAACTCAGGTCCTGAGCACTGTGTCTTGAGATGCTTTTGCTCAAGGCTAGTGCTCTACCACTTGAGCTACAGTTCCACATTTGACTCTTTTGGTAGTTTAGTGGAGCTGAATGAGTCAGTCTCACAGACCTTTTTGGCTTGGCTGGCTTCAAACTGCTGTTCTCAGATCTCAGCCACCTGAGTAACTGTGCTTACAGGTGTGAGTCACCTTGCCTGGTGACTATATAAATTCCTCTCATTATGTTCATTTTACAGGTGATCAGACAGGTACAAAGATCACTTACTTGCCCATGATCATCACCCTTGGAAAGAAATTACCTCTTCTTTACTATGTCTCAAAAGTGGCCTAGATTGTGCATGAATGGTCATCTTGCTTCTTCGAAGAGAATGAATTTTTCTCACCAAATGCCACACAGTTGTTATTTATACTGTTTCTTTTAGTGTCTGTGTGTCAGGGGTGTTACCTATTGCTCAGGTGCGCTCTCTCTCTCTCTCTCTCTCTCTCTCTCTCTCTCTCTCTCTCTCTCTCCCCTCCCACCACCCCCCTCTCCAGGAAGAAAGAAATCACAGAAAATCCTGTTCACCGTGAAATACAGGGAAATGAATGTGGAATGGAATTTATCTTTGAGCTTTCTCCTCATTAAGAAAGTAAATTTCTAGAACCACTTGTTTATGCTTCTCAAGGACCCTGTCTTTTTTTTTTTTTCCTTTTTTCTTGGTGGGTGCAGGGGTATCCTAGGAATAGGACAGGCACAAAGAATCAAGGAGGAAAAGCAAACTGATTTTAATCTTGTGAAAGTGTGCAGAGTTGGCTCATTTCAAAGACAGATCATCTAACCTTTTCAGTCCCATTGGAAATTATTGTTAATACTCTTGGTAGTTTGCCATAGTTGCCGTAACACATATTTCAGGTCAGATTTCTTTATCCCAGTAATGTGTCTTTAATTCTTAACTTATGGGGGAGAGTTTGTGGTGGAGGGGAGGGAGGAAGGGGGAGGAGGAAATGTAATTCCTTTGAGGAGGTGCTGACGCTAGCAATTCTTCATAGTAATAATTACTCATTTTACATATGCTACTCTTAGAGAAGGATCGAGAAGGAAAAGAATGTCCGAGCTGTTACAGAAACAGCAACAGCCAAAAAATTCTTGATGTTAAATTGTGTGGTACTGTTGTTGACTCTGAAAATAGACTCAGCAAGATGACTGGAGCAAAAGAAAAGAGACTTCAAGGAGTGATGGCAGAATTCTCCCACACTTCTGGTGACTGTGTTAGATCCAAATGGAATTCATTTTAGGACATAGCAATACTGAGTGAGGCTACATAAATTTAGCCTGCAGCAAGGCATGGAGTCTGCTCAGTGGGAAGAGAAGAGGACCATGGAATACAATCCCAAACTTGTTTGAAAACCTCCACCTGTTCTCCCTCAGGATCTGTGTAGCATCTGTATAGTTTAAACCTAGTTTATAGTATATAGTTTTCTGAGAACAGGCAATGAAGAGAAATTGGGTTATTTCCTTCTTTGGTGGCCTTTAAGGATCGGATAGGTATAGTTCAGTCCTGTTCATAAACATGTTGGGATAATTTAACTTTGAAATGATTTGTGATGTGTGTGTGTGTGTGTGTGTGTGTGTGTGTGTAAATTCTGAGATTTTGATAATAACTGATCTTTGAAATACTTGGAGAGAATGTTGGAATAATTGATTTGAGAGATTTAATCTGGCCCTGAAATGCTTTCCTTTAGTGGGCTTTGGCAAGACAGGATAGAGAATTATTAAATACCTCTCCCCCTCTTCATCAATGATCATGGTAGTACATGACTACAGCTGGGTAAACAGTTTTGAAAAATCATTTGGGGCATGGCTGAGCAATTCTGCTCCTGGGTGTCTGCCCAACAGAAATGAGAATGCAACTAAAAACTTGTTCATGAATATTCATGCCAGCATCATTCATAATACCCAAGAAGTAGAAATAGCTTGAATGTCTGCCATATATAAGTGAAATGTAGCATACATATCCATATTATTTGATAAGAAAAATGACCGGAGTACTAATATATGCTAGAAAACATGGATGAAACTCAAAACTTAATAGTTTTACGCTAGATAAAGACAGATAGACCCAGGAGACCATATACTTTATAACTCATTTTTTTCCCCCTGGTACTGGAGCTTGAACTCAGGGCCTTGTGCTATGCCTTACCTTTTTTGTTCATGGCTGGCACTCTATAACTTGAGCCACAGGTACACATAAGCTTTTTGGTGGTTAATTGGAGATCAGAGTCTCTTAGATTTGTCTGCTTGGGCTGGCTTTGTATCTCCATCCTCAGATCTCAGCCTTAGCTGAGATTACAGGCATGAGCCACTAGTGCCTGGCTATAGTTCTTTTTTTAGATGAAAAATCTAAAGTGTACAAATTTATAGAAATGGGAAGATGAGTGCTGGCTTAGGTCTGGGTGGTAACAGAAGGAATTGGGCTAATTACTCATGGTACTTGGGCTTTTTAGTTATGTTGGGGTAAAAAATATCCTAATGGGCTTTTTAGTTATGTTGGAGTAAAAATATCCTAAAATTAGATTGTGGTGATGGCTGCAAAACCCTGCATATATACAAAAATGGCTGATTTATAATTTAAGGGGGGGGGTAAATTTGATGACATATAAATTACATTTCAATAAAGAAAGCTATTTATAAAAGCTTCTTCAAGGGTCTGGGAAAGTGGCTCAGTGGTAGAGTGCTTGCCTTGCATGGATGAGGCCCTGGGTTCGATTCCTCAGCACCACATAAGCAGAAAAAGCTGGAAGTGGCACTGCGGTTCAAGTGGTAGAGCGCGTGCCTTGAGTTCAGGCCCCACGACCGACAAAAAAAAAAAAAGTTATTCAACCTGCCAATATTCTAATTAGCTCATAAAATTGACTTTGGCTCAGTTTACTTTTTTTTTTAATACTCAAATTGCTTCCTCCTCTAACCTAAACTCACTGGACTCTTTCTGTTATCTTAATGGAGAACATGATTTTTATAGTTAAGGCAGTTTTATTTTTAATAATAGCTGACCTGCGTAGGGGTTGAAGTGAGTGGGGTAGAGGCGGCCTTTGTGTAATCTTTACCAAATATATAAGGTAGATTTTTTTTTAAATGAAAAATGTACCTTGGTTATATGTTTCATATATGCTTCTCTCAAATTAGCAAAAGAATTACCCTATTGGCTCTAAGTTGTACTTAGCTTTTTCCATAATGTCATCCTTGCTGGGCACCAGTGGCTTACACCTGTAATCCTAGTGACTCAGGAAGCTGTGATCTGAGGATCACAGTTTGAAGCCAGCCTGGGCAAAAAAAAAAAAAAAAAGTCCGAGACTTTTATCTCCAGTTAGCCACCAAAGAGCCAGAAGTGGAGGTGTGACTCAGTGGTAGAGCTCCAGCCTTGAATAAAAACATTAAGGGAGGGGCTGGGAAGTTGGCTCAGAGGTAGAGCGCTCGCCTTGCATGTTTAAGGCCCTGGGTTCGATTCCTCAGCACCACATAAGCAGAAAAAAAAAAGCCAGAAGTGGCGCTGTGGCTCAAGTGGTAGAGCGCTAGCCTTGAGCTGAAGGCCCAGAGTTCAGGCCCCATGACCGGACCCCCCACCCCCCCCAAAAAAAAACAAACACTAAGGGAGAGAAAATGTGAGACCAGGAGTTCAAACGCCATCAAAACACCACCACCAACATGTAATATCATCCTTGAATGAGTGAGGGGATTGCTCAGTCAACCTCATGTCCCCCTTGGTCTGTGCGTGGTGCTGGGTCAGCAATGTCATCTATGGTAAAACCAGATGTGGTGATACACACCTGTATTCCCAGCTATTCTGGAGGCCCAGGCAGGAAAACAACAAGTTTGGGGC